AAGTGGAAGAGGGAAGGGTGCAACCCCTATACACATTTTCTGAAAGGTTGGGGGAAGGGACCTCGTAAACAGCATCCTTTCCCTATCATCATCATCATCATCATGTGCCCTGCCAACTGGCGTAGGTGCTCATGCGTCTCCACAGATCATGATCCCTGGTTGACTGGAACAGCTCTTTTGATGATATCCCTCCATGCTATCGTTTTAGCCTATCCAGCATCATCTCTCTTGGTCTGCCTCTTCCCCTTTTTTTTCACTGATCTTTCCAATTGTCACGATGTTCTCCAATGTCTCTCTTCTCATTATGTGGCCAAAAAACAGTGTTTATCTCTTTCTTATTGTTGTATATGGAGATCTACTTTCATTATCCTCTTTTAAGCAATTGTTAATAGTTACTCTGGCCGTCCAAGGTATTCGTAACATTCGTCTCAGAAACCACATCTTTGTTGCTTCCAAATTCTTCTTAATTTGTTCAGTGACATTTCAAGATTTGCTGCCATACAGCAGAACAGGTTCTATGTAACATTTTAGCCCCCTCTTTATGACATTAAATGAGAGCGATAGCTGAAGTATTTTGGACATTGAAACGTCATGCTGGCCTGGAAAAAACGGTGATGGAGGTTACAGTTTGTGAAAAACAAGGTAGAGGCCAGCCTCCATGAATGTGGACACAAGACATTGAAGATGCATTGGCTATGAGGCTGTGAAAGCTCATAGGACTGGAGAATTGGCTAGAGAAAGAGAGACTGTCAGGTGTGTGATGATGAGAGCGAAATTCTGTAAAGGATCTGTTGATTGATGATGATAACATAATTGTTAAAATTGTTTATGCTATATGTAAAAACTTTATACAAACTGAGGTTTTGGGCATTAGATATTTTACTTGTTGTTATTGTCTTAAAGCACAATATTAGATTAATATTATTTTTAAAATTTTCATTTTTTCATTAAAACAGAACAGAATGATTCATGTCTACTGTGTGGTGTATTCACTAAATTGTTTATATGTTATTTTAGTAACATGATAGTGAAAGATGTCTTTTTGTCTGATGCATGTGTCAGGGTCCTCTATGTTGCCTTTATTTAGTTCTTCACGTTCACCGGCTGTAAACTTCGATGAAACATTCTCATTGTTCATCCACTTCTGGGCTTTAGCCTTGTTGCAGAGCCTGAGTTTTGCATATGCATCTGTTTTACAGATTTGGCTTATTAGTATGCAGACTGTTGGTTTATTACCTCTCAGATGTACTCTGACATTCCTTTATTAATTGACTTATACAACATGCTGGTTAGGAAAGCAGTGGGTCTATTCTTTTGTTCAGCACAGTGGGTCCCCTGAATACCCACAGGGGGTCCCCGGAATCCCCACAGTGGGTCCCCTGAATACTCACAGTGGGTCCCCGGAATCCCCACAGGGGATCCCCTGAATACCCACAGGGGGTCCCCAGAATCCCCACAGGGGGTCCCCTGAATACCCACAGTGGGTTCCCAGAATCCCCACAGGGGGTCCCCAGAATACTCACAGTGGGTCCCCGGAATCCCCACAGGGGGTCCCCTGAATACCCACAGGGGGTCCCCAGAATCCCCACAGTGGGTTCCCGGAATCCCCACAGTGGGTCCCCTGAATACCCACAGTGGGTTCCCGGAATCCCCACAGAAAGCCTTTATTAATTTAATGATCTTGTGTTTCAAAACAGTGCTGATCAATTTTTAAGGAGATCCTTTATCAGTTCTTCTGCATTTACTCTTTAAAGGAAAGTTGACACTTTTTATTGTGTTTTACATCTAGCTGTGATATCTTCACCTTTTGGCACCAACATATCTAATTTCAGCAAACTTATTATTGACATTTTACGACATGTTTTGGGTCTGTTATCCCCCCCCCCCCCCACACCCCAAATGGGGCCCTTAAACCCACATGGGGAAACTCTGTCAGTGATGTCAAAGGTTATACTAAAGATCATAAATGAAATATGAAGTGGTGAAATTATGTGTGATGAGGCTATATGATCAGTTCACAATCTGTCTGGTCAGGAGCCTTTATCTGAATCGCTTAGTTGTTCATCAGTGATATTTCTGTGTTAAGGAAAAAATCGTAGCAAAACACAGTCGATCTTAGTTTTTTATTTTATTTTCTAAGACCTTAGTCACGAGGATGGAGGTGAAGACAGTCACTGCAACTGTGAAGAGGATAGTTGAAAACAGGGGGACCATGTGAATCACTGTCTGATTCTTAGACAGTATCGTTGAACGTTCTAAAGGGACGCATGTGGCATGAATGGATATCAAGCATTGGCACTTTGATATTTGCACTCTTACAAGTTTCCTTTCACAGGTTACTTCACACAAATGCTGTCTCGTTTGCTTCTTTGTTCTGTTTTTTGGTTCATGAAAGTTTAGTGCCCCAATAAGTTTCAGTATTTTATGCGGATGGTATGTCCATACAAACGTTATATTGTTTCCATACAAACATTATATTGTTTCCGAGCATGCCATTTATCATCTCCCTCTCCTCCTTTCCGGGCTGCCACTTGGAAAGTTGGTACCCTTAGGTCAGAAGATCTCAGTATAGCTCACAGATCAACAGGACCTGAAGGTTTGACACCCTGAGACTAAATAAAGAATCTCTGTGCTGATAGCAGACCAACAGGACCTGAAGGTTTGATATCCTGAAACTAAAGAATCTCTGTGCTGATGGCAAACCAACAGGACCTGAAGGTTTGATATCCTGAAACTAAAGAATCTCTGTGCTGATGGCAGACCAACAGGGATCTGAAGGTTTGATATCCTGAAACTAAAGAATCTCAGTGCTGATGGCAAACCAACAGGACATGAAGGTTTGATATCCTAAAACTAAAGAATCTCTGTGCTGATGGCAAACCAACAGGACCTGAAGGTTTGATATCCTGAAACTAAAGAATCTCTGTGCTGATGGCAAACCAACAGGACCTGAAGGTTTGATATCCTGAAACTAAAGAATCTCTGTGCTGATGGCAAACCAACAGGACCTGAAGGTTTGACACCCTGAGACTAAAGAATCTCTGTGCTGATGGCAAACCAACAGGACCTGAAGGTTTGACACCCTGATACTAAAGAATCTCTGTGCTGATGGCAAACACGCAGGATATGGTTTCACACCCTGAGACTAAAGAATCTTTGTGCTGATATAAGACCAACAGGACCTGAAGGTTTGACACCCTGAGACTAAATTTAAGAATCTCAGTGCTGATGGCAGACCAACAGGGCAAGCCCAGGTACTTTGTTCAACTTTCAGAGAAGTTATAATTAGGACAACCATAACGGCCACATCCACAGGATAATCTAAAGTCTTGTGCTGGTAAGGATTGCTGCTGTTTCGTGTCTAGTCATAGAAATCGACGTATTTCGTCAGGCTTCTGGGTTATGAAGTCAGATTAGAGCCAGTATGGGAAAACTGGCCCGTAGGCTGGTGTAAATTAACCACATAATCTGACCCTTCAGCTCAGTGTAGTAGAACACATAAAAATCTACGTTCAAATACAGAAAAAAAAAAATCATCAAAATATCAACAACATCCAAGAAAGGGATAACCTAAACAGTGATAATCAGAAACTGATGTTACCAGATATTTGACCCTGCTAGTGAGACATCTGTTGCAAACAAATCCAGACAGTTATGAGGATATCTAGGTGTATCAACACATCCCCCCCCCTCTCTCTCCCTCTCTCTCTCGCTCTCTCTATGTGTGTGTGTGTGTGAGTGTTTGTGTGTGTGTGCGTGCATGTATGTATGTATGTGTGTGTGTGTGCATAGCGACACTTCTTCTTAGAGTCCATGCCGTGTGGCGCTGGTAGCCATGTCTACCTACAACCTTCTGTCTCGTGTACTTTCAGTCAACTCTGATACAGATGATCTTCCATACCATGATATAAAACTGTCCAGCATCTGTTCTCACGGTCTACCTCTGCCTCTCCTCCCCTCCAACTTTCCTGCCGTCACGATGTACTCCAGGGCGTTGGTAGTCATGTCTACCCACAACCTTCTGTCTCGTGTACTTTCAGTCAACTCTGATACCGACGATCTTCCATACCATGATATCAAACTGTCCAGCATCTGTTCTCACGGTATCCCTCTGCCCCCCCCCCCTAACTTTCCTGCCGTCACGATGTACTCCAGGGCGTTGGTAGACATGTCTACCCACAACCTTCTGTCTCGTGTACTTTCAGTCAACTCTGATACAAATGATCTTCCATACCATGATATCAAACTGTCCAGCATCTGTTCTCACGGTCTCCCTCTGCCTCTCCTTCGCTCCAACTTTCCTGCAGTCACGATGTACTCCAGTTTTATCTTTCTCATCACATGATCAAAGAATGTAGATTGTGTGTGTTCTGCTGTGTACAATCAGTTCTCTTCGTGGGTGTTTCTTTCATGACGTCTTCATTACTTCTTTCATATGCCCAGTATATTCTTATCATTCGTCTATAAAACCACATTTCCGCAGCTTCCAAATAAGTCTTCACTAATTTACTAACTGCCGATGATTCACATCCGTATATCAATATAGGATTTATATAACTGTTTAAGAATTCTCTTTCTCGTCTCAACTGACAAAGAAAGATTGCATAAAATATCGTACCGGAAATCTGATATCATAACATAAAATATGTGACACACACGGAATATAAAGTACTGTACAGTAATTATAACCATATAGCGACTGTCGCGCGCACTCTCTCACCACTCTCTTGTTCTGTCTCCCCCAGCCTCTCTCTCTCTCTCTCCCCACTCTCTCTTTATTTCTCCATACTCTCTCTTACTCTATCTCCTCTCTTTCTCTCTCTCTCTCTCTCTCTCTCTCTCTCTAACCCCTCACACTCACACTCTCTACGACCTCTACGAAGATGTATATGACAGAAGTGACCTTTCCGTGAACTATCGAGCAAGGCCAAGGTGAAATTCTCTCCCTTGGCCGGCAAACTCGTTTCCGGTTGTGATCACAGTAACAAGCACTGACGAAGCTGTTACACTTTTCTCTTTTATTTCTATCATTACCGACTGTTGTTTACCACAATGAACAAGCAAAGTATTGACCAAGTAGACCTCAACGGAAAACGCGTTCTGATCAGGTACAGTGCCGTCTCTGTTTGTTTAAATATCTAAAAATAAATTGTTGACGATTCCAGCCAAGTATATCTGACCTTGTTCAGACAGGTCCTTGACCTTAAGTACGCTAGTTGCACAAACAACATTTTTAGCAAAATTAAATTGCAAACAAATAACAGAGGTTCCCCACAGACCCGGCTTTCGAGCTTCAGATTATTGTATAGTTCTTAACTCCGAACATTGATATCCCTTTTACAGGAGTACCAAATAGAAGCACATTAATTTAGATCAGCACTGCATTATTTTCCCCCATTTCCTGGGTAAACAAAGTAGAGAAGTGAACGGCCGGTTTCTGCATAGTTGAGACGTATTGGGGGTTTGTAGTGCTGATCCCATAATTTTGTTGATCTATCAGCCAGCGATAAGAGGTATGACCAGTATTACATCAGCCACCTTTACTACCGGGTACATTTCTGGTACCCATACATTAATAGCAATGAACCTCTTGAGCGAACAAACAACCAGAAATTTCCACACAATTTTACAGCCAGTGAACGCTAAGTAGAAGAATAGTTAGGCTAGTTTTAGAAGCTGATGCAAATTCTGTCAACTAAATAATGGAAAAAAGGGAATTAGTGGTAATACCAGACAGGTGAATCACCTTAATGTACTATGCTTCTGAAAATAGGGGAGGAAGAGATCTCTAGGACAGGCCCTTTTGTTTGCTTCCTATATAGTACTTTTCAGTGTCTTTTCTGCTGTCCCTCTTCTGTGTGGTCGACCTTTGGGTCTGTTACCACTTTATCTGTATAACATTGCTCTCTGTGGTGCCCTGTCTGCTGCCATGTTGTTACATGGCCAGATTGATTTGTTGTCTACCTATAAAGTTATAAAAAGATGCATACACTAAACTATTTAAAAACATTTTTCTGTATTCTTTCAGAGTTGACTTCAATGTTCCCTTGAAGAATGGGAAAATCACAAACAACCAGAGGTTTGTAATGTTTTTTTTGTTAAATGAATGTGATTATTACAGCTTTTCTGTTGATCCAAAATTCTATTATAATTATAAAAGTCTGCACTTATTCTTCTATTATATTCTTGTCATTGTCCTTTGTAACACTCTTTTACTGTTTTATTTGTAATTTCATCAGTGCAATGCAGACCACTCAAAGCAGTTTTAGATGCAGTGAATTTCTGTTGTAAAGAACAGTTTATTTATTCCCAGCAGTTTTTCTTGCTGGAATTATTATCAGGATAAGAGAAATCTCAGATAAGAAGAACTATTTCTTGGGTCCCTGGTGTTCTCCATGTCAGGTCTGCACTGTGTTTTATTTAAAGATTTATTAAAATATGTTCATGTTGTGTATCACACACTATCCGTAGAACGAAGTTTCATTTAAAATTTGTGTTTGTTCTGTGAAGGCAACATCAGCCTATAAGGTAACGTAAAGGATCCTTTTGTGTGCTTTCAGGCATCTAGGGCTAGACACATTTGATAGACCAATCAGCACTCAGAGGGTGATGAGGTCAACATTACGCTAGCTGCCTTTACTTCCCTTAAATATACCCTGCTACTAACTTCAGGCTGGGTCAACATGGGAGCCAAGGTCATTTGTGAAAAAAAAAAAGTGGCTCTGTCAGGACCCAAACCCATGACCTTCAGATCTGCAGGTGAGCATCTAGCCACTATGCCACATCAGCTCCAATTGGTTTGTAAGGCAGTAGTTAAATAAGCCACAATATTTAGAAAAGTTTTAGAAAATAATAGATTCATCACAATTATTTAGCAAGTTCTTTACCAAGTTCTGCCTTATAAGTTCTTTACCAAGTTCTGCCTTATAAGTTCTTTACCAAGTGTTGCTTCCACCATTGATTGCCGGAAAGCCTTTCTTTCCCCTGCTTCATGTGTTTTTATACACAAGGTGTCACCAGTACTTTGCTTCTACCTTCATGTTTGTTGATTCCTGCCATTTCTTCCAGATTCTGTCTCTCCCATTACTTTTCAAACAATTGCAGTGTCAATTGATCAAAGTATTCTGAAGCATAGTGCTGTTTATGAGCTTATATTCTTCTACATTGAATATTACAACAAAATTATCATAGAATGTCAGTATTTTTCTTTTTGAACCATGGTATCTGAAGAATTTTGGGTTAGAGTAACATTTTCTGGCCCAGAAAGAGAGTCACTTTCCTTCCTGTTCATGTCTTGTTGTGTCGCAGCGCCTGTTCTATGTTGCGGGAGTGTCAAGTTTAGTGACCGGCCACCAACACTTAGTATTTTACTTGTTGTCATCAGCCTGTGATATAGCATGTTCTATAAACAAAATGCTGCTGTTGGTTCTGCAATGTCCTGTAAGAGGACACAACTAACTTGTAGTTGCTTGGGAGTAATTTGTTCCTTCTTTTGATAGAATTGCAGCTGCTGTGCCAACCATCAAATATGCCTTGGAGAAAGGAGCCAAGTCAGTGGTTCTCATGTCTCATCTTGGTAGACCCGATGGTCAGCCAGATCCATCTGCCAGTCTGAGACCTGTTGTTCCTGAGTTGGAGGCACTGTTGGGAAAGTAAGTAGTTATGTATTTCTTTTATATTCAACAGTAGAGGGAGGGAGGGAGCAATAGAGAGAGATATTAATTAAAGGTGGAAGAGTTTGTCCATTAAAGTGAGATCAAAATTCCAAGCTGCGTGGAAGAAAAGTAACGGAAACATTTCCATACCTTCCGGTGTATCAAACATACGGGGTCCATCCTATATATAGAATAGTCAGCACTACAACCATAGCTGTGTATGATCGATAGCACATTAATCACCTTTATTCTTTGTCTTCTCTAGTCCTTTCCTGTGTTTCAGTGCCAAAGTCATTTGTTTTTCTCTCAGCATTTCCTAATAAATGTTTAGGCTGGATTGACCTGGGAGCCTCTGGGATTTTTAACACCGAGCAGCTAGCCGTCTAGTAATACCAACACAGTTCCCTAAGTATTTATTTTATGGTATTTTACATTCTAAATTTCAAGTTTTGTCATTGAAATTTAAGTTTGCAAGTTTTGACTTATTATTTTTATGGCAGTAATTCACACTATCATTCAGTTTTTGTAGTATAATGTGACTTGCAGAAAACTGTACACTATATTGTTTTTGTAAAAGTATTTTTCTGCTATTCACCTCAATAGACAAGTGACCTTCCTTGATGACTGTGTTGGGCCCAAAGTTGAGGAAGTCTGTGCTAATCCACCTCCAGGAAGTGTGATACTCCTGGAAAATGTCAGATTTCACCTGGAAGAAGAGGGAAAGGGCAAAGATGCACAAGGAAACAAGGTAGGGTTTACGTTGTTGTTTTTGTTATCAATAGTTTTACTGCTTGTATACCTTATCAAAGAAAGTGTAGTAACTATTTGTATGTGTGAAAATACTGGCTTATTTTTATGCAGACTGTTGGTTCCTTGAGTCTCAGTCACTCTTGACTTTGAAGAAAACACATGTAATTAGTTTTCTTTTTACTTTTTTGTGGACTGTTTATTTGAAACAGTAAATGTTTGTTGTATTGTTATCCTATACATCAGTTCAACTTTGCTGTTACAACACTCATCTACCTTGATGGGTTTTGAACATATCGCCAGGTGGCAACACAGAGTGCATTAGCATGGCTATCCATGTCAAACATGGCCGCCTACTGCAACTAATGAGTGGGAAATGTTTTAGAAGAGCTGTTGTAATAACAAGCAGAGATACAATTTCTTCTTCTTCTTCATTCACCGGCTGTGAATTCCAGCGGAAGGTCCCGGTTAATTGTTTGCTTGAGCTTTTGGCTTTTACCTGGACCATAATCAAAAAGAGCACACAGAAAATCCTGACATCTTCCCCACTACTTGGCTGAGGTAAATGGAGGAAGAGAAGAAGATACTTTGTCAATCTATGGATAGATGGATGTGTGGTGGATTAAAAAAAACATATGTAAGTTTTGAATATTGTGAAAAAAAAGGGGATAGGCCCATTGCCTCCCTAACAAGCTTGTCATAAAAAATTAATAATGTGTGTTTTCTTTAAAGCCAAGAGTGCATCTGCCTGAGATGTGAGGAACCAACAGTCTGCATAACAATAAGCCAGATCTGTAAAACAGGTAACTCAAGTTTTTGAACAAGATCAAACTCCAGAATTGGACAAGCAACTAGAACTTTCCACCCGAATTTACAGCCAGTGAATGCTTAGAAAAAGTATAGTAGCTGCACTAAGCAGAAGTAGTATAGTAGCTGCACTAAGCAGTATGGAAATGAATGAAAATATTTGGCCATTTTAGCTGAGCTGCCAACAGACAGTATGCTATAACAAACAGTGATGTATAGACCAAGTAAAAATTGAAAGAGACCAAAACATTTTAAATGATTCTTTTTCTTAAAGTCCATGCCATATGGCGCTGGTAGTCATATCCAATCCACAACCTTCTCATGTACTTCAATCAACTCTGACACAGATGATCTTCAATGCCATAATGTCAGACTGTCCAGCATCTGTTCTCTTGGTCTTCCTCTGCCTCTCCTCCCCTCCAACTTTCCTACCGTCACAGTGTGCTCCAATTTTCTCCTTCTCATCACATGACCAAGGAATGTAGATTGTCTCTTTCTGGTGTGGGCAATCAGTTCTCTTCATGAGTTAGTTTCTTTTCAAGACGTCTTCATTACTGTTTAAATGATTGACAGCAGAAATAACAGTTGTTCCCTGGAACTCCTTTTATGAAGCACACGAATGGGCACTTTTTTGCTGTTTATACTTCACCTCAAAATCACATGGTACAAAAGGACAAAGATAAGATGAGATGTCTAGTTTTTGTCAGTATCATGCTTGCTCGTTTTTCCCATGAATTGTTCATTCACATTATTTGATTCAAGAACAAACATCACAGCACTTGGGGAACTCCCATAAGCTCACCGTCCCCATCTTCAGCAGCCAATTCAGATACTAATGGTGCCAGTAGCATTCTGATTAAACGTCCGTCGTGCCTTTTCTCTGAGCCTCGAGCATCTGCCAGAACCTCTAGTCATTCCCCACTGCATCAGTCTCACCAGACTGGTGGTGGTCCGTCTGCTCCTCTGAACTGTAGATGCTCTACTACAGTGCACTAACCACCTCTACCTTATCATGCATCAGTGTTAATTCACATTAGGGTAAGAAGTGGCTGGCCAGGCAGTAAAAATACTGGGCTCTTATTCGGGAGGCCCAGGCTTGAACCCTCATTAATGAGACAGAAATGATTTCTTCTCAGGGGCAAGAATAAAAATCCTAATCTATGCCCAGTTTGTGGCAGTTGTGCTAGCCATGCGACCCTAAGATCCTCGAGCTTAAGATCATCCTGTCTACGTTACCCAGAAATGGTATATAAAGGCAGTTAGGACAGAAAGGTAAATATGAGAGCAGTTAATAAATTTGAAGGAAGAAGACACAAACAATAGATTGCACAATTTATTGCTTGTCATATTTTGCTGTATCTCGCCAGATGCTACAATAACAATTACATAAATGAAGCGAATGAGTCCTTTATTCTGAAGTACAAATTCAGCAACAATCAAACGCAAATGCCTGTGTAACCAGGCAGCCAGCAGTGTCAGAATCATGTCTTTTTGTTTACACAGTTCAGAGCGGAACTACTGTTTGTGTCTTGTTTATTAAAATTAACAACAGGAAAACATTGCTTCAATTAATAAATTGTTAACAATTTGTTTTCCTTTTAGGCTAAAGCAGAGCCAGCTTCAGTGGCTGCTTTCTGTGCTTCCCTCTCCAAACTTGGTGATGTCTACGTGAATGATGCATTTGGTACTGCACATCGGGCTCACAGGTACATGCTCTTTTACTTTGGTGAAGTTGATTCATGTTTGCCATGGTTTTGACATATTCATGTTAGCTTGTAGAAGTTTCAACTTTAATGAACTAATCCACTGTGACAAGGAAGTAGTTGATAATTTTGAAGTAATTTACTTTGAACTTAATCCATGTTGGCTAGGAATATTTGATACGCTTAATGAACTAATCTATTGGATAGTATGTGATAACCTTTAGCTAATCTATGGTAGTAGTTGGTAAGTATGATGGACTAATCTATGTTAACTAGAATTAGTTACATTTTTTTTAAAAACTAGTTCCGATTATCTTGCAATAGATTTGTAGAGTGAACAAATAGATCATTAGGTCTGAGGAGAATGCTGCTAAGAGTTACCAGAGGATCTGGCCGATGCTCAGTATTTAAGGGAAAGTGAGACCTATGTACAGACAGTTACGGGTACCCTCCGAATTGGAACTCTTCGCTTGATGCTAAAGTTGGGGACAGGGCACTTAAAGGAGTGTCCAGAGTGCTTTGAATGTTCCTAATTCAACATGCACTAAATTTTTATTTTAAATTATAATTCTAATTATTATATTATATTAAAACTCTAATTTTATATGTATATATAATATGATAATTATATATTATAATACAATTGTAGAATTGTTTTGAATTAGTGCGTGACAGTTAGCTGTTGAAGCAGCTTCTGTGACGTCACTTGTAGTTGTTAGACAATCAGTCAAAGGAATTACGTAACAAGATTGTAGAAAATAAAAACCAGGTAACAAACCTATAATTTTGAAGAAGAAAAAATGTGAACTTTCTCTTCATTTTCAGTTCCATGGTTGGTGTCAACTTGCCAGTAAAATGCTGTGGCTTCCTCATGAAGAAAGAGCTGGAGTATTTTGCAAAAGCTCTAGAGAGTCCAGCCAGACCTTTTCTGGCCATCCTAGGAGGGTGAGATAAGAAGAGAAAGACTTAATTTACTTGTCTGCACAAGTTACTGTTTTTTGGTTATTTTTTGTTGTGGGCTATTTATTTAAAGCTATTTGTTTTTGTTGTTTTGTTTCCTACACATCAGTTCAAATTAGATGTTAAAATAAGATGTTAAAATAGTCATCTGTCTTGATGGGTTTTGAACATATCACCAGATGGCAATAAGCCCTACATTAGCATGACTATCTAGATCATATATTGCTAGGCCAAAAATGTGTGTGCTGAAATTACAAGAGATTGAATGTGGTCAGTATTGTGACCTCAGAAATATCTCGGGCTTAGTGTAGGATATCAGGTCTACCCCTGATCCCCGTGAACATAAAATAGAACTCCAGTTATAAGAAAGAAAACAAGATAATCTAAGCTGAAATTCCGATATCTTGTTATGCTGATGGAATATCTGCAATTTCTTTTTACGTTCTTTGAATGTCTGTAGGTGCTTTTTTTTATTTGCACTTACACACTCCAAGAAAACCCACACACACAAACCCAGTGCTTTTACCTATCGCTTTGAATTTAAGTGATAAAGGCATGTTGATTTACAGAAACTTAGAGCTTTTGTATATTCTTCTGCTGCCGCGCTTCACACCTTCCACATTCCTATTTGTTGGTTTGTTTGTGTAACTATATATATATATATATATATATATATATATATATAGTGCTTTACAGGATTAGGTAGCCACCACTTTTTGTATATTGCTTAAAATAATTCCGTTTGATAATTGCATTAGTTTTGTATGTTTGTTTGTCGCCAGAGCGAAAATATCAGACAAGATTCTGCTGATTGAGAATCTCCTGGAGAAAGTTGATGAGATGATTATTGGTGGTGGCATGGCCTTCACCTTCTTGAAAGTTCTAAACAATATGGAGGTAAATGTCTTTTATTTTCATCAGAAAACAGCATTGATTAATCACAGATGCACACTATCGTTACATCTTTTTCTTAAAGTCCATGCCGTGTGGCGCTGTTCATCATGTCTGTCCACAACCTTATGTCTCGTGTATTTTTAGTCAACTCTAACACAGATGATCTCCCACGCCGTGATGTCAGACTGTCCAGTATATTTTCTCTCGGTCTACATCTGCCTCTCTTCCCCACTACCTTTCCCGCTGCCACTCAAATTTTCTCTTCCTCATCAGATGACCAAAGAATGAACACTGTCTCTTTCTGATGAGGGCAATCAGTTCTCTTCGTGAGTCGGTTTCACTACATCTTGAAATGAAATAATAACTCCTTGAGGGAACAGGCACAGCACAAGGCGTCTCATCATCAGAAAAGTTCCTCTTCCTTGAATCTTTCAGCTCCTTTACCTTGAATCTTTCAGCTCCTTTACCTTTCTTATCTGGGGGCCAGAGCCCACCTGGGTCACAACTCTCAGCTGTCATTCTGCAGTTTTGTGAATCCCCTACCTACATAAACCATGGGTTTGCCACTAATAACACTTGTCGTCATCAAACCATGTGCGCTGTACACCTCAGAATTGTCTCAGCCGTCGCACCTTGACTGGGCGTGATCCAGCATCTCTCCACCTGCCATCTAACCACTGTTTCTACCTTTACTTTTGTTTGGCTATGATACTGGATGCTCAGCTACTGCTGTGTTGTTTTTTCACAGTAGTAAAGTCTTGGTATCTTCCAAAAACAGTAATTGTAATAATACAATAATGGCTTCCGCCAGTCCCTGGGGACTATGGAGATGTGCCGCTGGCTTTGGAAACAGCATCTGCTGTGACCGTGAAGTCCGATGCAGGAGTTTTAGTTTCTGCCACACAGGATACACACAAAAAGTAGATACTCCCTCTATATGAGGCTGATTATCTCTCTGGCATCTCCTCTCTATAGTTTGCTGCGTTTGATTTCTTTCAGAATGTGACAATCCATCTTTTACTTTTTGTTGCCATAGTAGTTGACCTGCAGCTGATTTTCACAAGTCTCTGTGTCTCTGTTGGTATCTATCATCTATGTAATCTATCTAAACACAGCATTAATACCATTTGCCCATATGATACTGGGGCCCAAAGTACATTGATACCATATGCTTATATAATACTGAGGCCCAAAAGACATTGAAACCATTTGCCCATATGATACTGGGGCCCAAAAGACATTGATACCATTTGCCCATATGATACTGGGGCCCAAAAGACATTGATACCATTTGCCCATATGATACTGGGGCCCAAAAGACATTGATACCATTTGCCCATATGATACTGGGGCTCAAAAGGCATTGATACCATATGCCCATATGATACTGAGGCCCAAAAGACATTGATAACATTTGCCCATATGATACTGGGGCCCAAAAGACATTGATACTATATGCCCATCTGATACTGGGGCCCAAAAGACATTGATATCATATGCCCATATGATACTGGGGCCCAAAAGACATTGATACCATTTGCCCATATGATACTGGGGCCCAAAAGACATTGATACCATTTGCCCATATGATACTGGGGCCCAAAAGACATTGATACCATTTGCCCATATGATACTGGGGCCCAAAAGAGAAGCAAAGAATAGTCACATTGTAGGGGGTGACTGACAAGGAGTTGACATGAAACTGGCTGCCTCATCTAGAACAAAAATTTAGCCACAGAATCCAACTAATCCTGGGCAAGTCGACACAGGGGTGGATGTGAATTGAGGTCTATCCTTTGCTTGAACATGACCGACATGAGTAGAAGTATCTCCCTTTGTGGGTTCCAGGGTCAATTTTGGAAAAAAAGAGAAAGAATGGACCCAAAGTCAAAGTGCATCTGCCTGAAAGGCAAGGAACCAGTAGTCTGCATACAGATAAGCCAAATCTGTAAAATAGGTATGCACACAAAACTCAAGCCCTGCAATAAGACAAAGAGTCTAGAAGGGGTTGAACAAGTACAACTTTCCACTAGAGTTAACAGGTGAATGCCAAGGAAGGAAAAGAAGTAGGATCCAAACTATTGATTATGTATGCTGGTCAGGATTTTCCAGACTGTTTTAAAGACTGCTTGCCAAAGCAGTTACCACAGAGTCTACAGGTTAGGATTTTTGTGTGTGTGGAACTTTACTATTTTATTCCCTGAATCGGAATGTCATGGGTTCGCTCCCTGGTGGAGCCGTACTTTTTTCAGTAATGACCTTGACTTCCAGGTCGGCCCAGCCTTGAGTGGGTCCCTGGTGCAGTCCCAATAAGTAAAGGCGGCCGGCCTGATGCTGACCTCATCACCCTTCTTGTGCCAGTTGGTCTATAAAAATATAGGTCTAGCCATTTATGCCTGGGAAAAAAGACCTTTTTTTTTATTTACCTTTCTTTACTTACTATTTTATTCATTGAAACAAAGAATGATTTTTTCCTGATGGTTTTCCCCCGTCTCAGATCGGTAACTCCCTGTTTGACGAGGAAGGTTCCAAAATTGTGCAGAAGCTGGTGGACAAAGCCAAGAGCAAGAAGGTTCAGCTGCATCTTCCCGTAGATTTCGTCACTGGGGATAAGTTTGCAGAGGATGCTAAAACCGGCAGTGCCACTGTTGAGTCTGGTATTCCTGCAGGTTGGATGGTGAGTAACCTTTGGTCTTTCTGTTACAAATACAAAGATGTGTGTTTAATTACTCAAGTAAAGGATTATTTTTTTAACTTGGTATATATTCGCTGTCGGCTCTGTGGCTAAGTCAATGCAAACGCTTCGTAATGCCGGGGTACCGGGTTCAATCCCAGCTGCGGGCTATACGCCTTGCGTTGGTTTCTACAGTGGTATCAGGGGGCCGACCGTCCAGAAAGCAATAGCAAACTACTGGACGTAAATTTGCCTAGTGAAACCACACAACAGCCAGGGGCTGCTGGGGTTTGGTTCTGCAACGTCCTGTAAAGGATAAGCAACTAACCTTAACCTTGTATATTGGCTCTGCATTTATGGAAGCCTACTTGGATGGTGGGAAATGCTCAAATTCTGTGCCTGCCTTCTCTCAAGAGCTGTCCAGCGTTATGTGGCTACTGTAACCAGCCTGATTAGGGGCACCAAAAGTGGGCTACGAAAGAAAGATGACCATACAACACTGAGCCTGCAGTGTTTCCAAAACTGACTGGAATGTTAACCTGGGCAACAAATGCCTGCAGAAGTAGGATGTGTTGGCCAAAAGGTGCGTATATTGCAGCCATGCTGTAAACAGGCATAGCACATTTACACCCTTGGATGAAGGAAGAAGAAATTTAGCATATAGTGCTAGCCTGTGTTGTTTGCAGGCTAATTAAAACTCGATGGATGATATGGTCAACACAGTGCCAACCACTTGACTTCCCAGAAGAATTCTGGTACCTATTTCAGGCTAGGATAACCTGGGAGCCCTTTGCAGAACATTGCTCTTATCGTGATCTGCTGTAAGGTGTCACCCAAGGTGTCCCTTATATCCTGGCCAATCTTCATACTGGTCAGCCCCTGCCCCTCTTGCTGTACAAGATTAGTGCTGTAATTATATTTGCTTCCCTTACAATTCTATATTTTAATGATTTTTTTTCCTTAGGGACTTGACGTAGGACCTAAGTCCAGTGAAAAATTTGCAACTGTCATTGAGAAAGCAAAGACTATTCTTTGGAATGGGTAAGTGGTTTCTGTTTCTTTCTGTTCCTGCGCCAGCGAAAACTATCAGAACATCCATGACTGCAGTCGTGGCAAAGCCAGTAGCATACAGTTGCATTAAATGCAAAGGCCCCTGTCAGAAGTGCTAGTATGAACAGTCTTCCACTAGAGCAACAGTTTGTCATCAACGAAAGCAGCAGTGACAAGAACTTGGTAGAGGCGCACACACAACTTGGCATAATGCGCCATGAGTTCTGTGGCAACAGGCCATTTGACATTTTCTGAACATGTTGTTCACAACATAAACCATGTCGTGCACACTTGGAAATAATTCTTTAGCTGCGAGAAAAAATGTATTTCTTTGCTGTATTCACCGACTGTAAACTCCAGTGGAAAGTCAGAGTTGTTCATCAGTTTTTACACTTTGGCTAGGTTCCAGGGTCTGAAATTTGAATGTGCATTCGTTTTACAGTCTGGCTTATTTGTGCGCAGACTCTGGGTCCTCACCTGAGGAGACGCCTGCTACTGAGACGTTGAGAAGACGCCTGCTACTACCCCAGATGTGTCGCAGAGAGGGAGAATGAGCCAGCCACAGACGAAGCAGCGGAACGGCACCTACACACCCGAGATTACCCAGTGTTCACGCTGTAACAGGGCGTGGCATACCGCCGCAACCTGCCGCAGCAGCCCACTGTGCCGGTCCGCACAACTTCAAGGAGTGCAGCCTAGCAAAGAAGGACTCTGACTTCAAAAAGCCCAACCCAAACAGAAGGTGCTCAAATTGCTCAGGCACCCACAGCGCGAGGTACCAGGGATGCCCTTACCTCAAGGACTGCAGGAGAGCACTGACAGCCACCGCGACCAAACTCTACCCCCGCCCAGGGGAAAGACAGAGCAACCAGGCTCCCAGACCGCGGGACAACACAGAAGCAAACAAAGTCCAGGACGAGATTGCTGCCCTAAAAAGAGAAATCGAGGCCCTACGGGAGGAAAACGCTGCCATCAAAACGAAGCAAGATCGTGACAGACACGAAAACATCGAAAAAAGGAGACTGCTGCAAGAATCCTTTGAAACTCAAAAACGTTATGAGATCGAACTAGCAGACAAGGGGAAATTCAAGTGCGACCTCCTTGCAGTCCTGACCGATCTCAAGAAACAAAAGGAAGAAAGCGCCGAGACCAGTCTGTCCGAAGCCTCAAATCTGAAGTCACTCGCAGCACTAGAAGCGAAGATAACTAAAGTCAGCAAAGAAAACACTCAAGTGCAAAAAGACCTAGCAGCTACAAATATAGTAATTGAAGCAAGAGAAAACGCGAGAAAGGAAGCGGCCAAAAGAAAGCAAGTACAAACAACGAAAGTCCAGGAAAAAGTACCTATTCTACAAAAAGAACAAGACCCGATTAAAACCGGAGAAGAGAGCGTAGATGTAACAACCGAGGAAGACGTCAGCGAGGCCAGCCTACAAGCAATGATCACAAAATTTAACAAAGTGATGCACCCCCATGGACTCGCGCTGATCAACGACCAATACAGAACACAGTTCTGCAGGGAAACGGTTGAAAAAGAGTGATCCCTCCCAGTCGACATACTCAGGACCCAGACGACAAAGCTACAAAGTAATGGCATGGGAGGCAAACGTAGCCCTCATCCAGCTTAACGAGGCAAAATCTAACCCAAATAAAGAACAAAGAATGCCAACACAGATTAACCCGCACTGATCCATCCAAAAACCAATAGGACCCAACAGGCGAACCAGCCCATTTGAGGTGTGACGAAGCCAGCAACCAACCAGAACTGACCAAGCCGCCAAGACACCGACCAAATCCAGCCCACCGGATCGGAAAACTAACTTGCGCAAAACCAGCCAGGCATGACTGCTCGACAGCCATACCTACTCCCACCCACCCCCATATAGGCCGTGCCAGGCATACCCTATTAGTCCTTCTCAGGGCTAGTATATTTTCCACTCCCAATTCAAGCCATAGGTGCAGAACAGCAAAGAAACTTACAAGAAGACGTCGCACCGAAAGAAAGAAAGTAAAATCGCAAAGACACCAGGACGCAAATAAAACCAAGCCTCAGAGGCAGGTTGAAGCCGTCTAAAGTTTTTTGTTTTTTCCCCATTTGCAAGCAAGCAAGGTTCCTCACCTCTCAGTCAGAGGCACTTCAACTTTGAAGGGAACTCCCCTATGACATGTTTCTGCATGTGTGGGGGGAATGGGTCTGCAAGTCCCCCCTGGAACCCGCAAAGGGAGAAAAGAATTGAAGACCTCAGTGAATAAAATGGGGAGAACATGAAGTTAGCTGCATGCGGTGGCAAAGAATGGGTTGTCTTGGTGGTTGTTTATGGAATGCCTATGTTTCATTCTGGGGGGAGGAGGTGGGGTGGTACAGGGCAAAATTAGAGGCTTTATTTTTGACGACTCTTTGATCACTGCATCACTCACAAACTTGCCCTTTTTTCAGTCTGGGAAAACCAAAGATGGTGAAGAAGACAGCTATTTACTCCAACTCATAAAATAATGACATTGTTTATGTTAAATCCTTATTTACAGCACATTGCAGCTATGGGGTTGCTATTTTCATTGCCTTGGCTAAACAGTTCTTGTTTCTGACAGGCCACCTGGAGTGTTTGAGTTTGAGAACTTCTCCCAAGGGACACGGAAGATGATGGATGCTGTGGTTAGAGCTACCGAGAAAGGAGCCGTTAGCATCATAGGTCAGTTTATAAGTCAATGTGTGTGCGCTTTCCTTTTTAATAGTTTTTATATTTTTAATCTTTATCTTTACTCATTTGAAGCCCTAGGGGATTAATACGCTTGCCTCATAGACAATGAATTCAGTCCTTGGCAGAGGCAAGGTTTGTTTTTTCTCCATCAGGCAAGAGATTGATCTGGTCACATCAAATCCTGAACAGCAGCCTAGATTATCTGTCTGTAGCTTCAGGATTGTGAACACGATTTGTAGTTTAGAAATACCTTGTTTAATTTGACTGGAAGCCATGGTCATTTTTTGTAAAAATAAAACCGTCTTGATGCGGATTCGAATCCATAGCCTTCATGTCTGGGGCGAACGTCTACCTGCTATACCACTAAAACACCGTGAGTGTTGCAGGCATATAGGGCTAGACCGATGTTTTATAAACCAGTCGGCGCTTGGTGAATGATATGATCAACATCCGCCCGACCAACTTTACTTCCCAGGAATGTACCTGGTACCCATATAAGGTCATTTTTGAAAAAAAAAAGTTCAGTCAGGATCTGAACCAACCACCTTCCAATCTGCAGGCAAGCATCTAGCCGCTACACAACGGAAGCTCTCATTCAGTGATATAGTGTCATCCATTATTTCATCTCATGCTTCATGTTCTTAATTTTTTTTTAAATTTGTTATTTATGCATGAGGATTCTGTTCCAGGCTTACGCTTTCTCAATAATTACTTTTCTTTTTTTTTGGGTTTTTAATTTGATTTGTGTCTTGTCTGTGCTATTACATTTGAAAACAAAATGGACATTTTTCAGGTGGGGGTGACACGGCGACCTGTGCCAAGAAGTTCAAAACTGAGGAAAAAGTGAGCCACGTCAGCACTGGGGGTGGAGCTAGCTTGGAGTTGTTGGAAGGTAACCCGTCTGTTTTCTTAAGTTGTTTAAAAGTAACCCGTCTGTTTTCTTAAGTTGTTGGAAGGTAACCCGTCTGTTTTCTTAAGTTGTTTAAAGGTAACCCGTCTGTTTTCTTAAGTTGTTGGAAGGTAACCTGTCTGTTTTCTTAAGTTGTTGGAAGGTAACCCGTCTGTTTTCTTAAGCTGTTGGAAGGTAACCCGTCTGTTTTCTTAAGTTGTTGGAAGGTAACCCGTCTGTTTTCTTAAGTTGTTGGAAGGTAACCCGTCTGTTTTCTTAAGTTGTTGGAAGGTAACCCATCTGTTTTCTTAAGTTGTTGGAAGGTAACCTGTCTGTTTTCTTGTTGGAAGGTAACCTGTCTGTTTTCTTGTTATAAATTTTTTTTTTTTGGAGATTCCTAGGGGTTGTTCACTGGCATTAATGCTTTGTGTGATGCTTTCGACAAGTGGCCAGCCCTTCTATGGAGAGAGGCCGAGCTGTATGTTTCTAGCCTTAAAAAAAAGTTAAGTTATAATGATTAACCCTTTCTCCCCAGTGACCTAGAAAAATGGTGACTTCTTCTGCGTTCGACATCAGTCATGCTAAACCATTGAGTCCCGTCTGGGTCACAAAAAGGATTGTGCGTTTAAGGTCGCCACCAGTCCGCCATAGCTTCTCTAGCAATGTGGATCCCCTGGGCCAGATCCACAGTCTTTGCTGGGAGAGGTAAGGGCAGTACTGCAGTATAAAACGGTAACAAAGACCCCTGGCATATGATGTTAAACTCATATCTATGTAGACCATTCAGCACTTGATGGGTGATATGGGCAACATCATGCCAGTCACTTTTGCTTCCCCAGGTTTTACCTGTTACCCATTTTAGGCTGGGACTCCCCCATGTGGGTTCCGGGGCCCCCAATTGTGGGGGTGGGACAAGAATAGACCCACTGCCTCCCCAACAAGCATGTCGTATGAGTTGACTAATTGGGGGTTTCTTTGAAAGTTAGGAGTGCATCTGGCCGAGCGGCAAGGAACAACAACTGCACACAAATAAGGCAGTGAACCGGATGTGTACAGAAAACTCCGGCCCTGGCACAAAGTCAGAGTCCAAACTGAAGAACAACCAGGACCTTCCACCGAAACTTACTGCTGGTGAACAAAGAAGAAGAAGGTTGGGTTGAACTAGAAGCCAAAACCATTTTAAAAAAAAATCAATTCATGCGGATTTGAACTCAGAATGTTTGGGTCAGCAGGGGAGCGTCGAGCTGCTACCCTATCATGACCTCCAATAAGCCTGATACAAGGAGGTTTCATCCCTATTCCAGCAATACCTTGGTTATAGTTTGCACACATATTCTGTATTTACTGATATCCTAAATTGTTTATAGCTGTCCTAAACTGTTAATACCTATCCTAAATTGTTTATACCTATCCTAAATTGTTTTTACCGCTCCTAAATTGTTTATACCTATCCTAAATTGTTTATGCCTATGCTAAATTGTTTATACCTATCCTAAATTGTTTATGCTATGCTAAATTGTTTATACCTATCCTAAATTGTTTATACCTATCTTAAATTGTTTATACCTATCTTAAATTGTTTATACCTTTCCTAAATTGTGTATACCTATCCTAAATTGTTTACGCCTATCTTAAATTGTTTATGCCTATCTTAAATTGTTTACGCCTATCCTAAATTGTTTATACCTATCCTAAATTGTTTATACCTATCCTACATTTTTTATACCTATCCTAAATTGTTTATACCTATCCTAAATTTTTTATACCTATCCTACATTGTTTATACCTATCCTACATTTTTATACCTATCCTAAATTGTTTATACCTATCCTACATTTTTTATACCTATCCTAAATTGTTTATACCTATCCTACATTTTTTTATACCTATCCTAAATTGTTTATACCTTTTCACTTTCAGGGAAACCAATGCCTGGCGTTGAAGCTCTGAACCCTCGCCCATAGAACAGATCATCAGACAAACCAAGTTCTATGTGTTAATATAAACCTGACTCAGACAACTGAAGATCTTGACTGATTGTGAACATGACTAAAAAAAAAAATGTTTCCACTACTAGACTTGTATATTTTATCTTAGACTGATTAGATTATTTTCTGGATTGTAGGTGACTGCATGTGACATCCTATGTACAAGTACAAACAGTTTCATTTGTTGATCTCAACACTTTCGGTACCAGCCTGTGATTCTATCCCTGAACCATTATAGTTTAAAGCGGTCGGTTGTCTGTTACAAAGAAACTAAAATATTTATGCAATTACACAGATGGAGTAAAACTAAAATTACTGATATAATATGTTAATGTAACAATTGACTGCAATAGAAGAGGTAATAGTCATAGTGGAGAAGGACGTTTCGCTGAATGAAGAAACAGAACGGCTTTCCTAACAGTTTTTGAGTCATGCTTGGTCATAACTAGTTTGTGCTGGCTGGTATATTTGTTTTTGATTTGAAGTTTATTTATTTCAAATTTTTTTTTTAGACAATTTATTATTTACAGACTAAACTGATATTCATTTTCTATATGTGTCCGTCATAAATGTTGATGTTTGAGCTATTATAACGCATCCATACTGGATAAAAGGTTATTTTGTAACCTGAAGCTGTCGCAGTATAACGTAAACTGGCATATAATTCAGCCTCAGAATTGATAGCGCACTATTTGGAGTTAGGCCAAAATCTACTAAGTGCATTTTATACTTCCGATATAAATCGACATGTGAATGTTGGAGAACCTCTAAAGCAGGGCGGCGGGTCATCTAAGCTTGCTCAGGGGCCACAATTTTGAAAATGTGGATAATCATGGGCCAGAAGCTTGAGTTCCAGTAAAGAAAGATCACTAATACAATACAACTAGCAATGATTCACAGGCCACTTGCTAAGTCTCCGCGGGCCGCTTGTTGCATAGCCCTGCCCTAAAGACCTTGAAATGAAAGTTAAATGCATTTGAAAACAAATGTCTGAGGAAAATGATGAAAATAAAATGTGATGGATTCAAAAAGGGTGAAGAAATAAGAGAAATGTCTGGGCGACCACTAGTATTAACATTATAAGACAGAGACGATGGCGCTACATTGGACACATTTGGAGAAGAAACTAGCATAGAATCACCAAACAGGCATTGAAATGGGAAATACAGGGATTAAGGAGATGACTGCGCCCAAGAGAAAAACTAAACGAACATTAATGACTGAGGGCGAAGCTTCTAGACTGGATTCTATTCATGATATTAAATTGTTTGCACAGAATAGAATAGAATTAGAATAGAGGAATAGACTGAAGGCCCTATGTGACATGTAATGGCACAACAAGATAATGAATATAAATTGATCCCTTAGTGTTGGAAAAAAATTATTGCTTGAAAACTCAAATTCCCATAAGCGCTCCATCTCCACCTTCAGCACCCAGTACAGATTTCCAGTTTCAGCAATGCCAGTAACTGAACGCCTGCACTACAGAAGGGATTTTTGGACATGATATCTACAATAAATAAGACCACCCTTTCCTCCCTATTACAGTTACTGGAATAGAATGTCTTAAGTATAAAGTATAACCAAATATGTCTGTGTGGACATGATATCGACAATAAATAAGACCACCCTTTCCTCCCAATTACAGTTACTGGAATAGAATGTCTTAAGTATAAAGTATAACCAAATATGTCTGTGTGGACATGATATCGACAATAAATAAGACCACCATTTCCTCCCTATTACAGTTACTGGAATAGAATGTCTTAAGTATAAAGTATAACCAAATATGTCTGTGTGGACATGATATCGACAATAAATAAGACCACCCTTTCCTCCCTATTACAGTTACTGGAATAGAATGTCTTAAGTATAAAGTATAACCAAATATGTCTGTGTGGACATGATATCGACAATAAATAAGACCACCCTTTCCTCCCAATTACAGTTACTGGAATAGAATGTCTTAAGTATAAAGTATAACCAAATATGTCTGTGTGGACATGATATCGACAATAAATAAGACCACCATTTCCTCCCTATTACAGTTACTGGAATAGAATGTCTTAAGTATAAAGTATAACCAAATATGTCTGTGTGGACATGATATCGACAATAAATAAGACCACCCTTTCCTCCCTATTACAGTTACTGGAATAGAATGTCTTAAGTATAAAGTATAACCAAATATGTCTGTGTGGACATGATATCGACAATAAATAAGACCACCCTTTCCTCCCAATTACAGTTACTGGAATAGAATGTCTTAAGTATAAAGTATAACCAAATATGTCTGTGTGGACATGATATCTACAATAAATAAGACCACCCTTTCATCCCTATTACAGTTACTGGAATAGAATGTCTTAAGTATAAAGTATAACCAAATATGTCTGTGTGGACATGTTGCTTAGTTGTATACACCATATGGAATCATTCACTCACTCGGTAATAAACATTTTTGGATATTGTCCTCCAGTTTTGTCAGTTGTTTTACTTACTGCCTACTAAATGTTGTTTACTTCAATCTTTCACCATGTTTTAGTTCCTAACTATTATTATCTTTCTCATTTTATATTTGCAAAACTAGTGTTAGTTGCAAAACTGAATATGACTTTTAAAGATAACAAGAACCACTTTGCACAAAAAAGCTTTTTGCGAGATGGAAGCAAGATTGAAATAATCAAATGTCACATACCAGCTGACCCTGATTTTGAAACATCCGGCTTTCCCAGTAGAGACAATATAAAAAATGCAATCTCTCTACCAACTTTGTGCCTATGTCAGTCTTGCACATTGACTACAGAAAAAAAAATCATCTGTGAAATGAGCTGCTAAAAAAAAGCTCTGAACAAAAGGAGATCTTGTGAGAAATGAAGAAATTACAAGAACTATTTCAACACCTGTAACTGAATTCATAAAAAAAAAACTTATTTCATGAGAATGAAATCAATGATGAGAGCGTACAACATGAACGTAGAAACACCAGGAGGTAGGGGACGACCCAGAAGATGGGTTTGAAATGTCATTAATACCTTGAGAAACCACAACATCACAGCAAGCAACCGTCATACATCAATTCATTGTTCATTTGTTGTGTTGTGTCTTGCTTCTCTTTGGTATTCTGCTGATGAAAGCTGATCGCCGCCACATACTTTTTTTTCACTCACTGCAACTCTGGTAAAACTGACTTATGTGAATTATGTTTTTTGTTATGTCAAACTTTCTTAGTTAGTTAGGTAATAACCGATCATTCTCATCGCACAAAGGACAATTCTATAAGTGCTAGGATCGCATCTTCACTATCCCCCATCAGCGCTCGGCGACTGATAACATTAGTTCTATTTTGGTTAACCATACTTCTTTGGCTACCTCTGTAGTGTTCATATCTGGTAACTTATTTTTTGACATGACACTGTTCTAGTCTTGTCAAGGTTGCTGACTCACCGCCGTCTCCAAAATCATCTACTCGTCCGGTCTCCTGAGAGAACATCAGCCCGGGCTTTTGCTTTTCCTGTGCCTACATTAAAAGTCTATGGTTAAGGGCCAGCAAGGAGATTAAAATTAGAATTTTGAGAGCATGCATCTTCCCTGTAGCAACATACGGATGTGAGATGTGGACTCTCCAAGTCCTTAGAAAGAGAATAAGGGCTTTTGCACTGAAATGCTATAGAATGATTCTTAGAATATCAAAGAAGAGGAGAAATTGAAAAGATCTGAAGATCAAGTAAGATTGGCTAATAAACAGCATCCTGTCTCGGAAGCTGAAATATTTTGGACAATCAAGCACCACAATGGATTGGAACAAATAATAGCAGAAGGCATGGTACCAGAAAGGAGGTACAGGGGCCGACCAACATAAGGATGGGCACAGGATATAAGTGACTCCTTGAGAATGAAAGTACATGAGTCAGGAGAGCTGGCGAAGACTGAGTTTCTTTCAGGCAGTCCGTGATGAGAGTGACATTCTGCATAGGACCTGCTACATCATGATGATGATGACTTTCGCCCTGCCAGCAAGCCAATCGGCTCTTTAATTTTCTCTTGCTTCAGAGTGTCCTGACATACAATAAAACTGATTCCTTTCAGAAGAGATTTCCTCAGAAACTCATTGTCTTTAACCCATCCTGCCTGGATCTTTTTGCGCATGTTCATGGAATCAGTTAAAAAGTACGCATGAAAATTTCAAATATGTTCAATGTTGAATTAAGAATCAACATCATAACACTCAGGACACTACCATACGCGCTCTGTCCCCATGTTCAACAGCAAGCCAAGAGTTCCAGTTCTGATGATACCTGTAACTGATTATTGTACATCCGTCTCGCCTTTACCTTGAGTTCTGAGCATTAACTAGATTCCCAGGTAACTCCCATCAGTGCCATTCTCCTCAGACCGTGTCTCCGTTTCACCTGAGAATTTTAGTAGAGAATGGGATGGTAGAATTTTAGTAGAGAATGGAGGCTTGGTCAGGATCAAAGTCCAAATATCCCAACCACTATCAATAAGTGCATCCACGTACAAACTATCAGTCAACACCTAACCAGTCTGAGTATACCAGCTAATATATGAGGCTAGTAGCTTTGGTGATACTCGGAGAGGTGACTTATGGTGTCACACTTACTAGATGTCAAGTGATGCAGATCCATCATCATCAAGTGCCACCAACCCAGGGTTTATAGTCTACACACCGTTGCCAGCCAAAAAGTAAAATAGACAGTAGAATGCTGCTTTTGAACACTAGTATTTAATTTTACAGGACAGACATTGTTTCATAGTATCCGGTAAAATTTTAATTCCAGAACTACTGCCAACCATCGCGTTGAGAGGAAGAGAGGAGCATTTTCATCACTGCCGATAAGTATTTGTGTGGTAACTTGTGGAGTTGCAGCCACCCGGCCACTTAGTGCCCTTTATTACCATTAAGCGTATACTAACTATATCAGTACGATGGAGGTGATGGCAGTGACGCAAGC